TCGCTTCAACCCACGGACATGTAAAAAAAAAAAAAAAAAAAACCCGCTGCAACTTAAATTAGTCCAATTCCATGGGAAAACCGTAGACTTGGCAACACTGCAGTACGTCATAAATAGAACAAGGGCTCTGTTTACTGTTGGGGATTTGTCGTGTAGCGCCGCACCACATCCAGTATAGACAGCATCACGTCGCGTCTGGTGTAGACACGGCGTCAGACTAATGTCGCTGTCTGATGCTGCGTTTGAATTTACATGCCACATTATTTTAAATTAGTGCGAGCCAAACATATTTCTCTCATGGGCCGTCTATTGAGGAACCCGGACATAGACTGTTTAATGCAGCTCAGATATACCACAAATGCATTTACAATGCACTTATAGCTGCATAAATGATGTTATGATATTTATGTGAGGTGAACAGCACATTCCAGGGCCCAGTTTACAGGGGGGCCCCTCTCTGACCACCATAGTCCACAAAGGTTTGCTACATTTTGACTGTCCAACAACAAACTGTCCAAAGCCATCAGAATAAGATGCTAGGACAAAGGCCAGACACCTCTTAGAAGGCAAGACGGAGATCTCTGGTACCAAGCCCAGGAAGGACATGACTTCTCATTGGTCAAAATGCCATTTCTGCCCTTCACCCATCTAGAGACTAATTCCTACGGTTTAGGCCTGTGGGGTCGCACCGACTAGTCAATTAGCTTGACATTGACTAGTCACTGGTCCTATAGAGGGCGCAACAGGATAAGAAATCTTTGAAGTCCACATTTACGCTCCGTTCTCAAACTGTTAACATAACAAGTAAATGCATACTCCGAAAGCTCTCCACAAGACATGTGTGATTATAACACCTGGGTGCTCGAAATTGAACGGGAGAATGCATGTATTAAACAGCTTATTGTACAGGTGAATGAATCGCCGTTCTAATCTACTGCGCTGCTGCACTGTAATGCACACACACAGGCTACAGACAGTAGCTCGTACATCACGCACACAGATCGCGAGCACACAGAATCATTCAGTAACACTGTTCTATGATTTAGAAACGGAAAAGCTCTAGCATATATTTCTTAGTAACTAAAAGCTTCACTATTAGTAGAGAGATGCTCTCTCGCTAATGCATTCAAATAAATGTAATCCTTACTGTGCTACTTTATCTGTATCTGATTTAGAACAATTAGAAATCTGTGAGAAACATATCGACTCAAAGACAAAAAATCTGAAGTCGTTCAACCCCTAGTGACTGCCATAAAAATTCTTAGGACCTCTGGATGCAGCAGCAGTGGATGAAACAAAAAGAAATCACAAAGATCCATCCAAATCAGGGACATAGTTGCCTAGTTTATTTAAATCGCGACTTCTGCGCTTTTATAAGCGCTAAC